CCGCCGCCGCCGCCGCCGCCCCCGCTGCCGAATCGCCGCCGCCGCAGCCGCTGCCGCCGCAGTCGCTGCCGCCACCGCTGCCGCCGCCACCGCCGCCGCCGCCGCCGCCGCCCTCGCCGCCGCGGCCGCCACCGCCGCCGCCACCGCCGCAGCCGCCGCAGCCGCTGCCCCCGCCGCAGCCGCCGCGGCCGCCGCCGCCGCCAAGTGTAGTCGGTATTTTTTGACAAGGATGGTGGGGGGAGGCCGCATCGGGTTCGCTGCGCATGCTCCGCCCGCATTGTTCCTGGTTGGCTTCCAGTCGCCTGGGGTAGGGGGTGTATATTGATAGGGAACAGTGATTCACCCCTCCGCGAAGGGAAAAACGGGGTTGGAAGAGGAAACTTCCCAGAACACCTACGCCTAGAGGGTTGGTGGGACTTCAAGTTTCAGGATCAGAAATGGTAAGGAAGTCTCAGGCGAAACGCCCGGCCCGACCTACCGATCCGTCTCGGGGTGCGACAGGGAGGAATTGTTCCACACATGTTTAGTGAGGTTTTAGTTTTCTTCCCACCCGCGTCGCACCCGCGTCTTCCTCACTCCTCCCTCTCCTTCTCCTTCTCACTTGCACCAGCGCTGACAGCACGCACGCAACACACAACACACACAGGAGGGTCTTCCCGCCACACCATATTTGGCAGTCTCACCGCATTGGACACACAAACACACACACACACGCACACGTCGACACAACACACAACAACACGTGTCCTTGCCAGTACATGCACGCACGCACGCACGCACGCACGCACGCACGCACACACAATCCACATGCTGGGCACCCACGTGAGGCACACGTCCAGATACAGCCGCGCACACACACACACATCCTAGACACGACACGCACACCACACAACACACACGCGCAAGATTCGCCGGGCCTGCCAGGCGTGGCGCTTTCTCGATACCAGACGGGGTGCGCAGGGGGTGGTCCTTCACCGCGGTCCACCGCGGTCTCTAAACGCGCCAATGTCGCTGGGCATACCAGGCGTGGCACCTTCTGGATACCAGAAGCCGTGCGCAGCAGGTGGTCCCCCACCGCGGTCTCTATACGCGCCAATGTCGCAGGGCATACCAGGCGTGGCACCTTCTCGATGTCAGAGGAGGTGCGCAGGGGGTGGTCACCCACCGCGGTCTCTATATATACGCGAATGCCATAGAGCTTACCAGGCGTGGCCTTCTCTCGACACCAGACGGGGTGCGCAGGGGGTGGTCTCTCACTGCGGTCTCTATTCGCGCCAATGTCTCAGGGCCTAGCAGGCGTGGCGTTTTCTCGACACCAGAGGGGCTGCGCAGGGGGTGGTCCCTCACCGCGGTCTTTCTACGCGCCAATGTCGCAGGGCCTAGCAGGCGTGGCACTTTCTCGACGTCAGCAGGGGGTGCGTAGGGGGGGGGCCCCCATCGCTGTTCCTGTACGCGCCAATGTCGCAAGGCTTAGTAGGCGTGGCACTTTCGGCACATGATCGTCAGTTTCTCTTCCTGGGAGAAGCTCGCGCAAGCGTTTACTGGCACCGTGGAGATCGGCGGTTGGACATTGCCGCTGCTACACCGGAAGCTCCCGTCCCGCAGCAATGACCAGGACTCCGATGCAGTCTACCACTGGAACGGGGACTTGCCTATGACAGCCACGCGCTACTCGGTGGAGTTCCGTTTCATGCAGCTGGGGTGAGGCATCCCTGAGCTGTCCTCCCGGAGACTTTTCGTCGAAGGGGGCGTTGGCTACCACCCGCTCGCCGCGACTGCCTGCCCGCCACGGAGACTTTCCGTCGAAGTGGCACGCCGTGCCAGTGACATATCCGTGTAGAGACGGAAAGAAAAGGCATCAGGTTAATTTCGGGATTGGGTGATTGCGCGACGATGCCTGCGACCTCTCGTCAAAGGCAGTTTTCTCAGCCAGAGGTGTGGCGTGGCGCGTGGAAAAAAAGGCTTCTCCTCCAACTCCTCGTCGTCGTCGCCGCCTTCTCCCCCTTCTCATCCGAAAGTGAACGGGAGGGAACCACCAGACTCGCCAGGAGGGCCCTGGAGGCATCGCCGGCCCCCGGTTCAGGAGGTCGCGCAGCGGCAGGAGGGCAAAGTAGGTGCGCTCGCGTCATATCTGACGTCCTACCCCTCCCTCCCATCCCTTACCATAGCGCAGATCTCCTCTTCACTTGCACAGTCTGCTGTCGAGCAGGACAATGATCCCGAGAGGGTCGGCGATGGATGGAGGAGCGCGGCGGAGGTCCTTGCCCAATCGGTGCGGACACCGCTGCCCCAGGGCGATGGCGCCTTTCGGCGGGGCAACCGCTACCAGCATCATTGTCGCATGTTTCGCTTCAGCTATCATTACGCCAGATAGTATGAGTATGTGGGGTTCCTCGGTAGCTTGATTTTAAGGAGGATCGATGAGGATGAGGATGAGGATGAGGATGAGTATGAGGAGGAGGAGGAGGAGGAGGAGGAGGAGGAGGAGGAGGAGGAGGAGGGGGAGGAGGAGGAGGAAGAGGAGAAGGAGGAGGAGGAGAAGGAGGAGGAGGAGGATGAGGAGGAGGGGGGAGGAGGAGGAGGAAAAGGAGGAGGAGGATGAGGAGGAAGAGGAGGGGGAGGAGGGGGAGAAGGGGGAGGAGGATGAGGGTGGCCATTGCAAATCCAAGACTTATCCACGATGTTGAAACAAACCCTCCCTCCAGGCGCCCTCCTCGTAGGTCCCATACACGGGTTATTTCCACTGAGGGAAGTGCCCCGCTGAAAGACAACCGTTCGAATATCCCGAAACGTGCCAAAACACCATCCTGGGGACTCCAACGCCACGAATCAACTTGACTGTTGCGTCTTGACGATCCTGAATCGTTTGCGAATCAATGAATCGTTTGCGAATCAACGTAACTGGTGCGCCCTGACACTCTTGAGTCCTTCCAGAACGCCGTGTGTGGTACGTCAGCCATGGGAACCCGTGAAACTTTTGCAATTTTTAGACGAATGCTCGCGGCGCTAAGGCGAAAACCACATATTGAAAACCACCCTCTCTGAATCCGTGAAACTCTTGCAGTTTCTCAAACGAATATGAGCGGCGCTCATGCGAGAGCCACATCTTGAAAACCACCCGCCCTGAATCCGTGAAGCTCTTGCAATGTTTGAAACGAGTGTGCGCGGCGCTAAGGCGAGAGCAACGTTTTGAAATCTATCCACCCCGAATCCGTGACGCTCGTGCATTTTTTAAACGAAGGCGCGCGGTGCTAAGGTAAGACCCACATTCTATCCGCTCTTTATACGCGAAGTTGAATTTAACTTTCACATATGACCATCGTAGATGGTGATGACATCTCAGGCGCAACGCCCTGCCCGCTCTACCGATCCGTTTCGGGGTGCGACAGGGAGAAGTTGTTTATAGAGAGGAGGGATGGAGGAAGAGAGGGTGGGATGAGGAGGAGGAGGGGGAGGAGGAGGAGGAGGAGGAGGAGGAGGAGGAGGAGGAGGAGAGGAAGGCGGAGGAGGAGGAGGAGGAGAAGGAGGAGGAGGAGGAGGAGGAAAAGGGGGAGGAGGAGGAGGAGGAGAGGAGGAGGAGGAGGAGGAGGAGGAGGAGGAGGAGGAGGAGGACGAGGAGGACGAGGACGAGCAGGCGGAGGAGGAGGAGGAGGAGGAGGGGGAGGAGGAGGAGGAAGAAGAGGAGGACGAGGAGGACGAGGACGTGGAGGAGGAGGAGGAGGAGGAGGTGGAGGAGGAGGAGGTGGAGAAGGAGGAGGAGGAGGATAATGACGAAGAGGAGGAGGAGGATGAGGAGGAAGAGGCAGAGAAGGAGGAGAAGCAAGAGGGAAGAGGAGGTAGAGGCAGAGGAGGAGGAGGAGGAGGACAAGGAGGAGGATGATGAGACGGATGATGATATTATTAATAATGGCACGAATAGCAGGAATAATATCAGGAATGCGAATCATAATGCAAACACTTAGCAGAGTACTACTACTAATAACCAGAATACTCACACACATGACATTAAGATATTCATCGTAGTAAGGCTACTATGCATGATAATGAGAAGACGCATGGTAACAATAGGATTAAGAAGAGGACTACTAATCAACAGTAGTAGTATTAAGAGTAATCAGGATAACCATAGTCATAACACTAATCACAACAATGTCACGAACAAGAGCTATGTTACGAATCGTAATAATACGAAGCGTCAAAGTAGTAATCATCGAATAGTACTGCTGCGAGGCAGGATCTGACGACGACTAAGAATAGCACTTGCAATGATAATGATGCTAAGAAACACCCTACGAATAGTAAGAAGAGGCGTACCAACACGAACAGCATTACTACTAACAGTGAACAGATGAAGCATACTAAGAAGCATACTGCTAATAATCAGAATGCGCAGAGCAATACGACGCATGAAAAGGCGGTGAAACATGATATCACGAGGAATACGCACAACAATATCAATACTGGTAAGACTAACCATCGTAGCAATACTACTCGTAGCAGTAATAATACTAATTCAACTAATAAGAATATTAAGAACACTAGTAACAGTAATTCGAGTACTGATAGTACTGGTACGGGGAAGACGAATGAACATAAGGGGGACAATCAACATACGAATAAGACGAATACCACCGTAAAACACAACAGTAATACGAGTATTATTGTTAACGGCAATCTCATCATCTATAATACGGATGCGAGTGATACTAAGACTAGTAATGATATTACTAATCAAAGACCAATAATCAGAAGGAAATAACTAATAGCATATATGAACATACGAGTGCTATAATAACACTAATATCACTAACAATAACACAACTGATGACAATGATCACACTCATGATAATATAACTAAGAATCAGATCGAGATAGAGGAGGGTGAGGATGATGATGATGATGATGAGGAGGAGGAGGAGGGGAGAGGAGGGGGAGCAGGGGGAGAAGGGGGAGCGGCCACGAGGGGGCGGTCGAAGGGTAAGGGCGGCCCGCCAGCGCAGGCGCCCCGCCGTTGGCGCGCGGGCCGCCGAGCCCGTGGCAGCTCCATCGGGAGCTCCTGGAGGTTTCCCGCGCCGCGCTGGAGGCCGCCGGGCGCCCTTGCCTGGCGGCTCCCCGCCTGGGCGGCCCCACGCTCACCGAGAGGAGGAGGAGGAGGAGGAGGAGAAGGAGGATGAGGAGGCGGAGGAGGAAGAGGAGGAGGAGGCGGAGGAGGAGGATGAGGAGGAGCAGGAGGAGGAGAAGGAGGAAAAGGAGGAGGAGGAGGAAGAGGAGGGGGGGAGGAGGAGGAGGAGGAGGACCAGTGTGAACCCAAGAGCCATCAACGATGTTTGAATAAACCTCCCTCCGAGCTCCCACTTCATAGGCCCCTACAACGGTTAGTTTCCAATGACGGAACTGCCTCTTTGAAAGACAAGCGTTTGAAGACCCCGAAGCATGCCAAGACATCGGTTTCGGGCTTTCAACGCCATGGATGAACCTGACTGTTGCGTCTTGACAATTTTGAACCCTACCAGAACGTCATTCCTCGGACTTCAACACAGCGAACAAACATGACGGTTGCACCCGCATAATCCTGAATCCTCTCAAAACACATGATACCGGAGAAAAGCCCCAATCATAATCTTTTTTGGGCTAGAGGGCTATGGGGCTATGGGGCTGCAGGGCTATAAGGCTACGGGGTTATAGTTTAAAGCGAATGTGCGCCGCGCTAAGGCAAGAGCCACATTTTGAAAAGGAGCCGCCCTCAAGCCGTGGAGCTCTTGCAATTTGTAAAGCGGGCCACACTTTGAAAACGACCCGCCCTTCAGGAGGACGGGGGGGAGGATGACGGGGGAAGAGGAACCTGATAAATAATAGTCATAAGAATAATATGAGCATGGATGATATTATCAATAATGACAATAAGCATCATAAAAAAGACAACTCATACTAATACTAATGATAAGAATAATCATAGTAATAATGTCAAGAATACGAATAATACTACTAACATGAAGAAGAATAGTAATCACATCCATAATAAGAGGACTAATCATAGTAGCACGAAGAAGACGACAACACATACGAGTAATCATAATGACAGAACTAAGAATAATAATAGTCATCATAATATTAGTATTTTTAGGATTAATATTATTATCTTTATTATTATTATTATTATTATTATTATTCTTATGATTATTATTATTACTAATGGTAATAATGGTACTCATACTAGTATGAGTAATAATAATAATCGTATTAGTATTACAATGGTAATAATAATAGTATTATTATTACAAATGGTAATGATAATCATGCTACTAATAGTATGAGGAGGCGGAGAAAGAGGAGGAGGAGGATGATGAGGATGATGATGATGATGAGGAGGAGGAGGAGGAGAAGGAGGAGGAGGAAGAGGAGGAGGAGGAGGAGGAGGAGGAGGAGGAGGAGGAGGAGGACTCGTTTGTCGACCACGAGGGGTGGTGGCGAAAGGGGCGCGGCGGGGCGGCGGCGACCGCCCGCCCTGGGTCTGGGTGGTCCTGGGCAGGCCGCTCTCAGGGCCCCGGGAGCCTTGCTTTGGACTTTGCCTGTCCCCCCCCCTCCTGCACTCTGGCGCTGAGTGGGCCCTGGAAACGACAGGGCCGTTTTTTTACCGGTTCCGTTCTGCCGTGTTCTTGCCGGTTCCGACGCCGCTGTTTTACCGGTTCCGTCGCCGTTTTTTGACCGGCTCTGGCTCCGGTTCCAATCCAGGAGCCGTTTTTTTACCGTTTCCGGTCGCCGTTTTTTTGCCGTTTCCATTTTCAAGGGACATTTTTTTGGAAACGGTGAAAAAACGGCCCTGCCGTTTCCAGGGCCCACACAGCTCTGGCGCAATTCGCTACGACGGAACCACCTCTTAGGCAGCTCTTCGCCGACGCAGTTTTTCTGCCTCGCCGCTGCCGGAACAAAAAACACATGTTTCGGACGTTGCCTGCGGATCGCCATGGCGCAACCTTTCCGGAATTACCCTGGCGACGTACCCAAACCCTGCGAAGTGCAAGGCAGGAGCAGCTTGGGAGATTTGGTGAGAGGGTGACGACGTGACATGGGTGCATATATTTCTGCGAGCGGCATTCGGGAGGTTCGCAGGTCCCCGATCAAGAGAACAAGCGTGGTAGAGATGAGTATCCAAGTCAACCCCTGAGTCACTCAGGCAAGGTCCAAACGGAGAAGGCGGGCAACGGGCTTGAAACGTCGGCGGGGCAGCAGCGACGTGGTATGGCCCCCCCGAACCAAAATTTCCACGCGACGAAGCATGCGCGGTGCCTCGCTCCGCTGGACCCACCAGCAGCCCTCGAAAGTGGCGACAGTGTCGCAGATCGCAGCCCCCCAGGGTCGCAGATCGCAGCCCCCCAGGGACGGCGAGGTCCCGCTCAGGTCTGCGCGGTGCCCCACCCCGCTGGACCCACCAGCAGCCCTCGAAAGGGGCGACAGTGTCGCAGCCCTCCCGCCCCCCCCTCCAGGCACGGCGAGGTCCCGCTCGGGTCCGCGCGTGCCTCACTCCGTTGGGCCCACCAGCAGCCCTCGAAAGTGGCGACAGTGTCGCAGATCGCAGCCCCCCCAGGACGGCGAGGTCCCGCTCAGGTCTGCGCGGTGCCTCACCCTGCTAGGCCCACCAGCAGCGTTCGAAAGTGGCGAGAGTGTCGCAGATCGCAGCCCCCCCCCAGGGACGGCGAGGTCCCGCTCAGGTCAACGCGGTGCCTCACCCTGCTGGACCCGCCAGCAGCCTGTGTCGCAGATCGCAGCCCCCCAGGGACGGCGAGGTCCCGCTCAGGTCTGCGCGGTGCCTTGCTCCGCTGGACCCACCATCAGCCCTCGAAAGTGGCGACAGTGTCGCAGCCCCCCTCCACAGGGACGGCGAGGTACCGTTCAGGTCTGCGCGGTGCCTCTCTTCGCTGGACCCACCAGCAGCCCTCGAAAGTGGCGACAGCGTCGCAGATTGTAGCTCCCCCAGGGACGGCGAGGTCTCGCGGGAGACGGGAGGCGGGCGGCAGGAGGCGGGAGGAGGACGCGACCGCAGTGCTCTATTCAAAACGAATACCCAACCAAGGGGGGTTGGGCAGAAAGAGTGAAACATGATCTTTGGGCGGGCCGCGCGGATTTCTTAGATCTGCGCTCGGCCCCCCTGACGGCGCCTCTGGCGCCGCCCCTGGCGCGCCCCGCGCGCCAACCAGGAGAGTCTGGCGCAGATCCAAGAAGTCTGCGCGGACCTCCGGGAAATTTGGTTCACGGCCGGGAGCTCTTATTTAGCTTAGCGTGTCGCGCCGTCCGTTCTGGCCCACCGCGCCTCGGCGCGACACGCTATCCACTTGCCCAACGTCCCGAGCTTCTCTCAGCCTCCCGCCCCGCGGGGGCGGAGCGACACGCTATCTGCTCGGAGGGCATATTGTATCGCCGGGGCCGCTGTGGCGACACGCCATACAAACGTTCCCGACCGTAAACATGATTTCTCAAATGTCCACGCCGATTTCGATCTACGCTCGGCCCCCCTGGCGGCGCCTCTGGCGCCGCCCCTGGCGCGCTCCGCGCCAGCAAGGGGGGGGTCTGGCGCAGATTTATGAAATCTGCGCGGACCTCTGGGAAATTATGTGTGAGCAGTGCTCATTCCGGACGGGATTCGCTGTTACTTTCAAGGCGAGCGTAGCTTATTCAGTGTCGAGCGTCGTGTGTCCAGCATCAGTCGCTTTTCATTCTGGGCAGCACCAGCCGTTGGGCAGCACCCCCATTGGTGCTGTCCCCGTGTCGGGTGCGCCAAACTTGTGGTTCAACACAGCGGGGCTGGCGTGTCAGCTCCAGTGTCAAACTTCCTGTTTGGGCTTTCCAGGCTCTCTTCACAGGCCTTTTGCGTCGTCGTCGTCGTCGTCGTCGTCGTCGTCGTCGTCGTCGTCGTCGTCGTCGTCGTTATCATCATCGTCGTCGTCGTCGTCGTCGTCGTCGTCGTCGCTGTCGTCGTTCACGGCTCCGCATCCCTTATTTGGTTTCTCGGGTTCATGTGGCTATCGGGGGCGGTGATAGCACGCCTGAGGTTTGGTTCATAATGGCTAGATTTTTCCCAACCATCCTGTGGTGTCGGGTCCTCGTTTTGCATCGGCATCGCCCCGCGTCTCTCATCCTTTCTCTTTCCTCCCCCAAATCCTCCTGCCTCTACCCTCCGCACGGCTCTGCTTCGGCACGCCGCTCACACGTTTCGTGGCCCCATGGGGAGCTCCACCGAGGGCCCCAGTGGGCAAGCCCGCGCGTGCCCACGTGCTTTCTGGACGCTCGCGTCACCAGTTGTCGTGGCCCCTAGAGGTACCTCCGCCGAAGGCCCCCATGGGAAAGTCCGCACGCGTGTCCACGCCCAGCTCGGCACATCCCGCGCACGTCCCGTGGCCACAGCGGGAGTTCCGCCGACGGCCCTGGTGGTAAGCCTGCATGTGTGCCCACGCCCGCTTCGGTGCACCCCTCACACGTTGCGTCCGAGCTCCACCGAAGCCGCGTGCATGCCCACGCCCATCTCGGCACACCCCTCACACGTTTAGTGACCCCCATGGGGAGCTCCACCGAAGACCCCGCTGGGAAAGCCCGCATGAGTGCCCATGCCCATGTCGACACAGCCCCTCACACCATTCGTGGCCCCAGAGGAGCTCCACCGAAGGCCCCAGTGGGAAGGTCTGCACACGTGCTCATGCTCATTTCGGCAGCCCCCTCGCATCCTCACATAGTTCGTGCTCCACACAGGGAGCTCCCGCGCGAATGTCGGCACACCCCACACCTTCGTGGCCCCATGGGGAGTTCCATCGACGTCCCCAGGTCTAAAGTCCTCAGACTTCCGCGCATCCCATACGTCACCAGATCATTGTGATTTTCCTTGCTTTGCTGCTCAGGAGGCGTCTCAACCAGATCCTGGGGGAAGGGAGGGGGGGGGGGGCGAAGGAGGAGCGGAAGAGGAAACAGGAGGAGAGATGGGGCGGAGGCGGGGCGCCGACCTGGGACGGGAAGAGGTGGGAGGTCTGGGGGGATGGAAGGCAATGGAAGGGAGGAGTAGTAGTAGGGGGGGTGAGGAGCCTCATGGAGGCAGGGTGGATGCGAGATGGAGGGGGGGAAGAGGGAGGGGGGAGGTGGGGTGGGGTGCTTGGAGGGAGCGTCGAACTGCGCCACCGTGCCGAACCCTGTCTGGCGACCCCTGGGGAGCCGCGCCGTCGCCCGTGGCGTGCGCCAGCTCGCTCCCCCCGGCTCAGAGGAGGACGCACTCCGTGTGGCAGTTGTTCCCCCCAGTGGCCTCGACTCGTGCCACACCGCTGTCGCCCCCTGCGCTTCAGAGGGGTGTCATCTGCGGAAGCGGTCCTTCGCCTCCTCACTCTCGCTCTTTGTCCTCATCGTCTTTCTCGTCCTCGTAGTCGTCGTCCTCCTCTTCCTCTTCCTCCTCCTCCTCCTCCTCTTGCCTCCTTTTTCTTTCTCAGTCCTTTTTACTCCTGCCCTCGTCCCTCCCCTCCTTTCACGCTCCCTCCCGCCCTCCTGCCCTCCCGCCCTCCCTGCTGCTGCTGGTGCTCCTCCTCATGTGTTGACGTTGGCCATGCATGAGCATCGTGGCTGCTGCGTCCCTCAACAACTCGAACCTGCATGGGGACGGACGCAGCGACACAGATCCCCAAGGGGACGAGTGCGAGAGGACACACGCGCTCCTCCTCCTGCTCCTCGTCCTCCTCCTCGTCCTCCTCCTCCTCCTCCTCCTCCTCCTCCTCCCCTCCTCCTCCTCTCCCTCCTTCCCCTGCCGCCCCTCATCACTCCCTGCTCCGCGCGCCGCAGGCGGAGGCGAGGCACGAGGAGCAGCTCGCCCTGCTGCAGCGGCAGCAGCAGACCGAGGCCATCCGCGCCGAGCTCGAGGGGCGCAAGGCGCCCCTGGGCGGCGTCCCTGGCGCCGTCTTCCCCTCCTCCGCTCCTTCTCCTCCTCGAGTTCTGCCTTTCCATTCTTTTCCCTTTCCTCCTCCTCTTTCTCCTCCTCATGCTCCGTCTTCCTCTTCCTCCTGCGCCCCCTTCTTTTCCTCCTCCTCCTCCTCCTCCTCGCGTTCTGTGCTCGAGATCTCGCGGCATGGGCAGGCCTGCGAATCGCAGCGGTCTGGCGAGCCGAGCCAGCTGGCGCTGTCTGCTCACCGCCTGCTTCAGCGCGCTTGTGGCACCGAGGGAGGACAAGGGGAGAGCGAAGAGGGATGAGGAGGGAGGAGGGGCGGATGAGACATGTAGAAGGTAAACGGAGGGATGAGAGAGTAATGACGATGGAGAAGGGGGGATGAGACGAGGGAGGAGGAGGAGGGAGGAGAAGGACGAGGAGGGAGGAGCATGAGGCGGAGGAGGAGGAGGATGATGAGGAGGAGAACTTGAGTGGAGGGAGCAACATGGAGCGAACGAGTAGGAAGGAGGGACCAGGGAGCAGAAAGGGTAACGGGGACGGAGGGAGGGAAGAAGGATGGAAGCCTCCTCGTCCTCCTGCTCCTCCTCCTCCTCCTCCTCCTCCTCCGCCTCCTCATTCTCCTCTGGGTGGCCTGTTGAGGCCAGCCGGGACTACCACTGGGTGGGGGTCTGTCTGTGCGTGGAGCGTCACGGACATCGTGCGCCTCTCCGTCCGGGACCGCGACCCCGCACCGACATTCTTCACGGTCAACGCCAAGGACACAGCCCCAGATGCAGTGCAGCATGCCCTCGGCGCCTGACTGCAGGTCGCGGGACGGCAGCCAGAGCACGCCACCCTCCACGGCGCCAGCCCTGGCCGGCGTTTCCATGTCGAGGTGCACGGCGGCGTCGTCGGCAGCGCCCGCGTTCCCGCCTTGACCCAGGCCCTCAAGTTCCCAGACGGGCACTGGCGGCAGTTCAGCGCGCCCACCGTGGTTGGACCCGCAGGGCCAGTCTACACCAACCCTGATCGTTCTCCACGCACCCAGTGGATGGAGTTCTAGACCAAGCGCTTGGCCCAGACCGTGGAACGCAACTGCAACCAGCTCGATTTCTGGCCCAAGCGTGGCAAGGGCGAGGTCAAAATCGACCGCATGCCAATCGCCAGGGTCATCGTCCCGAACGTCCCCGACAAGCTCTCCAATATCAAGTGGAAGCGGCCCGAAACGGCTCGGCGTCGACTGCGACCTCATCGACGCACAATTCCAGAAGCTCTTCTGGGACTTGGGCTCCGACGCGCCGTGGTCCTAGCCAGTGTTGGGCCCCTTGGGTGGGCCCGTGCAGCCCGCTGATTGTGGTGACTTGGACTGCGCGCAGCCTCTTTTGCACCTCCCGCGGGAAACGCAGGCGCAAGCTAGTTGCGCTATGGCAGTTTCTGCGTAAAGGTGCGGTTGTCCTGGTCCAGGAGGCCCACAGCGATGAGGAGCAGCTCAGGGCATGGCTGTCCGACCCGCGGCAGTGATACACACTCTTTCACACCGGCTGCGCCAGCAGTGCCCGTGCTGGAGGCCTGGCCTTCGTGGTCCCGCTGGGCACTATCGAGGGCCCCATCGACGACCACATGTGGATGGACGTGATTGTCCTTGGCCAGGTGGCTGCTCTGCATATCTCGAAGCATCTGGGCAGTTACCCTGGGGGGTGTTCGGCGTCTGCCGCCCTCAGATCCCCGCCGTCAGCTCCTCCTCTGGCCGACGACGAACCCGCAGTAATGCAGCCCGGCTGGATTCAGCCCCTGGCCGTCGCCCTGGCCACGCCAGCATACTCGACGGCGCGCTCGGGATGCTCATCACCTACACGCTCTGACTGGTCTTGGAATCTGGTTTCCACTTCCTCTGCGGGTTGTTCTCTGGCCTTCTGGTACGAGTTCTTCCAGCTCCAGGTCTTCGAGTTTGACGTGCACGTTGGCCAGCACGTCTTCCTCTGAGCTGCTGCCGCTGCGTGTCTGTCCTTCCGGCACTCCCTCGGCGCCCACCCTGCCAAACATTCATAACTGTGTCCTGACCCCCAGTGACCGGCGCCGTCTGACTCAAGGGGTGCATGCTTATCGCCGGTGGGCTTCTGCGGCGCCGCACCAGCAGCGGCTGGTGGTTGTTGGAGATGATTTGAATTTAATTTTGATGATGGCGTCCGCCTGGCTCACGAAGACCCTCCGCGGACTCGGCCGCATGATGCTCGGCGTGATCACGGCGTGACCAGTACTGAGGCAGTTTCCTGCAAATCAAGCTTTTCTCCCCCACGCACGTTGACGCACACCAGATGACATCGTCGACGTTGGACAGGCTGTACGTCTCGCTGCCCGCGGATTCCGCCCTCGGCATCTCCATGTGCGCTGGCGCGAAGACAGCCGCACGCTGGCCGTCTTCGAACTCAGCCCCAGTGCTGGCAAGTGTCTTCGCAGGTTCCGAGGCCGGCGTCGCCCACTCTGACCATGTGGGCTTCGCTGCGGCGGTCCGCGCGGCGACCTTTGCCGTGCTCGGCCGGGGCCGCCGGGCCACCAGGGCGAACGCATCCTCGGCGCCGCAGCGCGACGCCCAGGCATGCGGCGCTTTCTGGAAAGGCAGGGCTGTGCACGCCGCCCAGAAGGTCCAGCTCTGGCGCCCCCTTCAGTCAAGCAGTGGCGAAGCGTTCTGGCGGGCCTGTATGGCCGCCAAAGAATGTTCTGATAACTTTGTGTGATTTGCACGAAATGTTTTTAGAACAGTTCTGGCTGGGGCTGTCTTGCTTTAGCACATCGGGCTTATGTTATGAGAACATGGTTTCTGTTTTTGGAACATGTATGGGGTTGTAAGAACATGTCTTGGTAGGCCCGTAGGAATGCCGGGACGGTCGATCCCTGCTCAATCCAGAGCGTCCAGATTTTGGCGGGAGTCCCACAGTCACCGATCCGCCTAGCAGACCAACCCTCCGCAGACGCTGCCGCCGCCACGCCTTCCCAGAGAACGGCAGCCAGGCTGTAGCTACGTTGTAGCACGCGTGCAGCAGGCTAGGCCACCGCCCTGGCCCGGTCCTGATTCTTCATCTACCATATCTCTAATGTTGTGGCGCGTAAGTAAGGTGCTCAGCTCTTTCTGTGCGCCAGCAACTAGAAGTACTGCACCCCGCTCGGGCCAATGTGCCTGAGGAGTTCAGTCTCCTGCCGCCTGGGCCCAATGTGGGCCGGCCACGCAGGTGGCTGGCATGGGGATCAAAGGCGTTTGGAAGCTACTGGCGCTCCTCCTCCTCCTCCTCCTCCTCCTCCATTTCCTGATATTTGGTCCGTGGTTTCCCAGCGGAGCGGGTGGATGCCGCTAGTCCGCGGCAGCCTTCAGAGCTTTCAGGGGGGCCGCGCTCTGCCATCGCCGCGTCGGTGACAGTACGAGCGCCTTTCGCGTGCCAGTCTCAGACGCGGCGCTGCTCCCAGACGTGCTCCGCGGGCGGCGGAAGCCAGTCTTGGGCTGCGTGTGCGGGTCGGCCCAGAACTGAGCCTCGCGCGTCCGCTGCCGCCGCGGCCGAAGCGAACCCCGGAGATCCTCGCCGCCGCCAATAAGGCCCATGCTGATTTGGAACAGGACCGCCCGCCAGCCTTTGGATTGCGCCGCGGTGAAAGTGCATCCGTCGCGCTGTGGGCCCAAGACGCGCTCCTCCAGCAAAGCCAGCAAGTGGGGAAGTTCCAGAACCAGTCAAGTTCAATGGTCGCAAGGACGTGTCCGAGCATCGCGCCGAGGAGCATATTCAGGCCTCGGGCGGGGTTTGGCTTGCGAGAGCCGAGCTGGAGAATGCCGCCCATTGCTTGGACGATTGCCCAGGATCCTGGTGACCCCTGCGAAGTGCAAGCGTGAGACGGCCGAGCAGCTTGAGCAGGCGCGGGCTCAGGCTGGGCGGGCGAGGGCGCCCGACAGGGCCTATCGTGCCCGGGTCAAACTCAGGAGCGCCAATGACCGCCTCTGCGCTCTGGAGGACAAGCAGACGAAGCTCGAGCGCCAGCGGGGGGCCATTACCGCGGCGATTGCCGACGATAAGGCGCTATCAAGGCCAGGCGCTTGGAGATTGCGGCGTTGGGCGCAGAGTTCCCCTCCGCAGCGAAGGCTGCGGCGCCGCGTGCGGCCCCCGGGTTCGAGTTTGCCAAAGAAGAGCCCCCCGTGCTGATGTCCTCCAGGTTGCCCGAGGGCATGGCGAGCAAGGTGACGAGCTTCTCGCGCCCTTCGAGGAGCATGTCCGCAAGGCGACCGTCGCCGCCCCCGAAGATGCGGACAGGCCAGGTCTCGAAGATGATTATGGGATGGACCTGGAAGGTGATGGCGACGCTCAGCACCCCGGCGAAGCTGATCCGGCAGGTGGTCTCACCGCCGGAGGCGGCAGCGCCGGCGAGCGCGACGCCGAGCCCGAGCTCGGCACCTGGAAGCTCCAACGGTTTACGACATCGCTTGCTCCGATGCCAGTGACAAGGGGAATTTCGCCCAGCAGTTCAAAGAGGATTGGGCAGAGCTCCGTGATATCAAAAAGTTTCGTCTTTGACCAGACACGGTCGCTGATGGTCGCCAGTCTACCTGTCCATCGTGGGCAGTCTCGGCCTGTGCCGAGCCCTGAACCGCGCAGTGTTGTACGCGCGTGGCATTCGCGCACTCGAGGATCAGATTTGTGCCTCTTCTGCGCTCTGCATTGTGGCTTAGGAAACGGGCGTGTCGGATGCTGTCCATAATGACTTTGTTGCCTGGGCAGGTCGCCGAGGTTGGCGGCGCGTGGCCAGCCCAGCCCTCGCAGGCAAGGGGGCCACGCCAACCCGAAGGGTTGCTGTCCTCGCGCGTGGTCATTTTGGACGCCGTGGGCCTGGCTGCGACGAACCCGTTGTTCACCGACGGCGAGCAGCTCCACGTCCTCAGTGTGTATTTGATGGTGGGCCAGGGCATTCGTGGCCGCAATGAGCGGGTTCTTGCCAGCGTAGGAGAGTGCGTTGCTGACGTTCACCAACCCGCCCTGGTCGCAGGCGATTGGATCGCCGCCCCGAGGCTGGTGAATGAGTACAGATCCGCAAGCGAGGGAGCCCTCGCGCTGGTTACCCCCTGCGTGCCGACACGCTTCGTGCCGACGCCGAGTTGTGCCGTCGATTCTTTAGCAGACAATGTTGTTGCTACGAGAGTTTCGGAACCGGTCAACGTTGGCGCGGCCTGGCCCGCTCGTCCTCGCCGATTGAAAGTATCGGGACTTGCTGCTGATGAGAGCTCAGGCAGCAGTGCTTGGTGCACCTAGTGCCTTCCAAGCTACCCGCGCAGGGGATCATGGGGCCGACCAGAACTGGACCGTCCTGGGATGCAGCCCAGTACCAGGCAGAGGCTGCGGTCACGGCGTGCACCGCAGCAGATGCACTCGAGGCGAGGTGTGCCGTGCCCAAGGAGTGGGCGAGTTTCGAGAATATTTGCACCGTGGCCAGTCTGCATGCGATCTGGGGTGCACCGCCCAAGGCCAGGTGGGTTGATTCTTGTTTCAGACCCTCGAAGATACTTGATGTTCGAGCCATTGCTAGAGGCTGGCACCGGCTTGATTGTGCCAGTGCGAGCCTGGCCCAAATCTTCCATCGCCAGGAGACTCCGCTGGCTTGTTCCGAAGTTGAAGTCGAGTCGTTCACGGCAACCGACCACTTCGGGAAGGCTTCGCGTGGGCGCCTCGGAACAGATGTCCTCGAGGCAAGCGTCGCTGCTGGACGTGCCAGCGTTGCTGCTGCAGGTGCGCCAGATGGAGGGCAGCCCCTTGCCCCTCGATGTGATGTGTCGCCGCCCGTTGCTGTCGCGCCCCACGCCGAGGATGATCTTGACGGTGTTGACCCTTTCGCTGACTTGGATCGCGCGCGTGATGGGGAGGAGGGGCAGGGCGGCGTGGTGTCGGCATTTGTTACAACGCGTGCTCCGGCGGGGCGCTCCCGAGCCAGGGCTGCCGAGGGCCATCCTGGGGAGGCGGAGGACCCCGCTCGCCCCTGCGCGACCTTCGGCGCATGCCGACGGGCCCTGTCCCGCTTGCTCGAGTGCTGACCCCCCTTTTGTGGGTCTAGGGGGTTGCTGGAGGAAAGGAAAGGCTCGGTGGCTGCCCGGCGACGCCTCCGAGAATGGGGCCGTCGTCTTCTTGTTCGTGGGAGGCTGGGCATGAGCCGCGCAGCGTTTGTGCTGGGCCGGCCCGGCCCAGTTTGCCGTCTTTTATGCTTTCGCCCAGTGCCGGTTCCCATGCCAGTTGCGTCGTGGGCCTGCCCGTGGGGAATGAGACCCCGCCTGCGAGCCGTGGGCCGTCGTCTGCGACGTCGCAGGAGGTGGGCAGCGAGCCCTGGCACGGACTGCGCGCTGAGTTTCATGGAGCTGCAGAGGCGCTCCAGCAGCTGCGCGAAGAAATCGCTGCTGATGTCCAAGCTGGCGCCGAAGAGAATCAGCAAATCAGCAACGCTGGCAGGACTGGTGCGACCTTGCCACCGTTCATGGCAGCAGAGGCCGTCGTCGCGCCACGCGCGTGCCCGATGCACCGCATCCTGCAGTTGTTGATATGGGGGGTGGCCCGTCAGCCCACCCGCGTGACATCGTCGACGTGGAGGTCCGCAAGTATGAGAAGCCCTGGTTGGCTAGCCAGACGCCCGGCTGCGCGCGGTCACCCGACCGCAGCGCCATGCCGCGAGTGGGCGCTGCTGAGGTACGCCATGTGGCAAACAGCTTTCCTCGCGCCGCGGCTGCAAGCGTTGACCGAGTCCACCCTCGCCACTTTGCGTTGATTGCGGACCAGAAGCTCGACGCGATGGCTGCCCTGTTTGAGGCGCGTGGGCGCCTCTGGCTACCCCCGCGCCAGCTTCGTTTCGTTGTCGTGCCGATGCTGGCCAGACCTGACCAAGGGCGCCGCCTCGTCATTCTCCGTGCTGGGATCTATCGGGCATGGCAGTGGCTGCGTCGTGGTTGCGCGGGTGACATGCGCCGACGCTTGATCAGGTCTTACTTGGGCGCAGTGGCTGGTCGCAGTGCGCTCGACCTGTCGTGGGCCCGGGAAGCCCGCAGTGACGCGGCCGCTGAGTATGATCAGTGCAGTGTACTCCTGCTCATGGACTACAGCAAGTTTTACGACGGCATCTCGCTGGCAGTTCTCCGTGGCAGAATGCTGGTATTCGGGATGACAATACCACTGATGAAGCTAGTGCGTAACGCGTGGCAGTCATCGCGTATCGTGCGCCTTGCGCCGCAGTGGGCTGGTGCTGTTAGCTCTCTACGGTCTCGCAGCAGGTTGTGCATGTGCTGGCGTACCTGTGGGGGCATTCGCGATCGCCGAGTGCGACGCCTTCCTCCTACACAACCCAGGCATCTGCCACATGGGCCATGTAGACGACGTTGGGATTCTCGTGGCTGGCAAGGACCGCGAGATTGTGGCAGCTATGGTCGCTCATGCTGGTCGTGGTTTCTTGGGGGTCGCGTCGCGTGCAAGCCGAGCTCGATGACAAGTTTGCTGTTGCCTCCAATGGCCAGAAGCTTGGGCATGGGATTGTCAAGCGCATGGGTTTTTACAGCAATGAACCGCGTGCATCGGTGTCGTGCTTCGGTGCGGACTTCGTTCCCGGCCGCCGCCGTACTTTCCCAGGTGCTGGAGCGAAGCGCCAGCTTCGGCGTCGCAAGGGTCATCAGGGGGTTGCGAAGGTTGCGAAGCTCAGGTCCATGCGGCAGGCGGATGCCCGTCTCGGCAAGGTCTTTTACAACACTGGCATCAAGGCAGGAGCGCAGTGCGGTGCCGAGGCCAACGGTGTTGATGACTCAGAACTCGTAGCTCTTCGGAGGCAGGCCTGCCCTTCCCTGCCACCTACGACCCAAGGGGCTAGCGCGAAAGCAAGGCTTGTCTTGTATGGTGAGCCCATGATCCGAGAGGCCATGGCCCCAGCGTTTCCATGGCGCAAAATTATTTGGCAAGCAGTTGCGTTTCCTGCGACTGCCCTAGTTCGCGTGACTGAGCTCCAGCTCCTGTGGGGCCAGATTTTCTCCAAGGGTCCCACGGCCCAGCCGCCTTGGGCCTCCGCGAGGGGCCCCATCGCGCGCATCCTGCCCTGCCTGGCCCTCGTGGGCCGGGCTGCCGTGCCGGCCGCCGCGCGGGGGAACCGCGAAGGAATCGAGATTCAGCCCCCCCAGGTTTCGCCGCCCATGCTCCAGCAGATGGTGAGGGAAACGTTCCTGGCTGCCCATGAAAAGTCGTTCGGGGAGCGGTTGGGGGTCGTCGAAGGAGGCTGGGCTAGCCTGAGCGCTGTTCGAGGCAAGCTTCGAGGCAGTTAGTTGACGCACTATCGGAAATCGGCAGTGCGCGATATAGTGCGTGACTGCCAGTGGACATATTCCCATGTTCATGCGCGCGGACTTCGTGCCGAGCGTCCGGGGAAGTGTGCTTGTGGACGTGTGGATACCGTGCGCCACATATTGTGCACATGTGCGTTGCCTGATGTAGTGAATGTTCGATCGTTGGCCGAAGTTCCCGTGTCTGATACTTCAGATGCATCTGACGCTGGTCTTGTCAGCCGCCCCCACGGCCGAGGTGTCATGGTGATATGAGCCTGGGGGCGCCCCCCCGTGTCGCCGCAGCTGGTTGCGCAGGTTCTTACAGGTATGGGAGAATTGATGCCAGACCTCGAGCCCGAGGCTGCCGTGCAGTATGCTGGCGACGCTTCGCGGCTGCACCTTGCAATCGATGGCAACAGCACGATGCCGTGCTTCAATTTTTCCAGCGTGCATCTTACTCTGTAGTTTTGTTTGGGCCAGCGGACGAGGCCACCCTTGCCGTTGTGCGTGGCACAGTCTCCGGCGGTTTCCCACAGACGCCCGCGACGACAGACAATTTCTCGATCGCCGTTGTCTGTCAGATTGCAGATAGAGCCTCGAGTGTTCCCGCTGATTGCAAAGCTGCGTTTTCCCAGGCCCTCCTCCCCGAGCATGCGCAGTTGCGTGCAAACGAGGTTTTTGCGGGAGCTTCAGCGTTTGCCCGGGCGCTCGAGGATTTTGGCTACGTTGACACCATTGGCCATTTGAAAGCTCACAGGAGCGTGGAGACAATCTATGTTCTGCCGCCCGAGCAGCGAGCGCCAGCGCGAGGTAACAGGGAGGCTGACCTCCACGCGAAGGAGGCTCTCACAAATACATGCCTAGGTCGGTCCAGAGACGGCCATTCGGCTAGAGGCTGAGATCAAGACCGTGCCCAATTTTGTCCGATTTGCTGCCGCCGTTATTCCCGCCTTCAGAGGGCGAGCGCTGAGGGAGCGCCCTTTCCCCTTCCACCGATCGGTCAGGGGTGGCATGAGCGGGAGGACGGCCCTCATGGCACCCAGTGCAAACCCTGTTTAGTGTTGGCTCCTGACGGCCCTGGCCAAGACTCCCTGGGGTGCTCTGGGGTCCTTCCATTCGTTCGCAGTGTCGTCCGCCGTTCCCCGAGGCACCAGATTGTTGGCGTGGCTTCCCATGAGATCCACCCCGGAAAGCCCTGCAGGAGCCGATCCAGGAAGTCTGCGTTGCAATTTTGGTGTGTCCGTTGCGGGTGCCGCGCGCAGCGCTGTGCCAGGAACCTCGAGCCCCGCGGGGAGGACGAGCAGGAGCAGGAGGAAACAGATGAGCTGGAATCCTCCTCCTCCTCCTCGTCCTCCTCCTCTTCTTCCCCCTCCTCCTACCTCTTCCCTCCTCCCTCCTCCCTCCTCCCTCGTCCCTGGATGAGCAGGGGCAGTGTCCGTCCTGGCCCTTCCCCGAGGCCCTCGCCGTCCTGCAGATAGAGCGGGATGCGACCCGGCAGCTGGTGCACCTCGTCTCCAAGTCTCGGGCGAGGAGCGCCGAACTTTCTGGGATCATGCAGCCAGAGCGGGCCGGAGGACGGTCATGCTCAATGGTGAACTGCAGATCTAATGATGAAATCAAAGAGTTTAAACTTACCAGCCTCGAACGTACCCCTGTCCCTAAGATTGACACGCCGAAAGGCGATGACAATCTTAGGGACTCGCCCCCAAAACATAAGGGAATCTCTAAGATTGGCATCGTGATGCGGAGGTGCCCAGCATAGGGATAGGGCTATGTTCCAGGCTGGTAACACACTGGAAGTAGGCAGAACGTAAACAAACACACGACGCAAAAATACTGCGCGAGCACGCTACGTAAAACCTCCCCCGGGGCGCCTCCGCGGCGCTGCCTCGGCGCTCCCGGCGGCGTTCCCGCGGACGATGCTCCTGCTTTGCGCATTATATATATATATATATATATTTGTTGTTGTTTTTTATTTATTTTATCTTATTTGTTGATATATATATATATATATATAAGCAAACGAAGTGTTTTCGATTAGCGTGCCGGCGCAGGGCGCCCCTGCAGCGCTCCAGCGGCCAGCTCCCTGGGGACTCGGGCGACGCTGACCAGCGGCGCAGGCGACCGCAGTGTTTGCGCGTGGTGTTTTTTTTCCGCGTAGTGTTTTCACGCAGTGTTTCCAGGTAGCGTGCCGATTACGACGCTCTCTTGCGAAAGCCGTTACGCGAAAAGCTAATTTCACGCGAAAGCGTTACGTCCATTCGCTACGCGGAAATGCACTACGCGAATACATTACGCAAATGCACTACGCAACGACTCTACGCAAAGACACTACGTGAATCTTCTGCGCAAGTACTTCACACTAAACGGCGACGCAAATACATACCCTACACAGAACCAGTACGCGTGGGTCGATCACGGAAACGCATGACGCGAAAGCAATATGCGAATCCCTTACGTGGGAAGATAATCCCAAGCTAGGGCATTACGTTCATTCGCTTCGCGAAATACACTACGCGAAAACACACTACGCAAATACACTACGCACACATTCTACGCAAGTGCTCCACGCCAGACGGCGACGCAAACAGTCTACACAAAAACACTATGCCAACATACCGCGCAGGAGCACTACGAAAAAGCACAACGCAACGATCTTACGCAGAAAAGCGCTGCTCAACACACACTACGCACAAACACTGCGCGGAACCACTACGCGCTAACTCCACCCGAATACACTGCGTCCACTCGCAACCGAAGACACACTACGTAAGTACATTACGCAACTACACTGCGCAAATGCACTCCGTGGCGCGGGGCAGCACGACCCAGCCCTCGGCACGGTACCGTCACCACGGACACCTCCAGCATTGCCATTGCCCATCGTCCTGCCGAGGTTCTGATGAGGGCCCCCACGTCGCCGGGCCTCGCAAGTCTGAGTCTCTTGCCGAGTTCGTGGGTCGATCACGGAAATGCATGACGCGAGAGCATTACGCGGAAAGCTCACTCCACGCGAATGCATGACATCAATTCGCTGCGCAACATGCACGACGCGAAGCATACTACGCAAACACATTATGCAAACACGATGCGCAACTGTTCTTTCTACGCAGGCACTCCACGCCAAACGGCGATGTTAATACCCAACGCGAAACACTACGCACATGTATCACGCAGTAACGCTACGCCGAAAGACTACGCCAAAACACAACGCAAACGCACTACGCAACTACACTACGCAAACACACCATGCAAACACACTATGCGCAAACACCACGCGAGACCACTACGTGAAAACACTACGCGAACACACTACACGAACACACTACGCAACAACATTACGCAAACATCAACCTACGTAAACACACTACGTGAATTCACTACGTAAGTACACTACGTAAACTCACTACGCAATTACAATACGTAATGCCACACTTACGCACCTCTCCGGAGGACGAGTCAGAGGAGGAAAAGGTACCGATATTGTTGCCCTTGTCTCGTTTTCGCCTTTTTGGGCCTCCTGGAAGGCTCTAGTCGCCACTCGTGCATTCGACTCGAAGTGCTGCTCAGAACCCACCCCAGGAGAGGTCTGAGGAGAAGCGATATCGATACTTTTTGGTTTTCGGGAGGAGGGAGGAGGGAGGAGGGAGGGACGAAGGGAGGGACGGAGGGAGGGAGGGAGGGAGGGAGGGAGGGAGGGAGGGAGGAGGAGGAGGAGGAGGAGGAGGAGGAGGAGGAGGAGGTGGAGGAGGAGGAGGAGACGCGAGGCTTTGTAGGAGCATGCCCCGCGGGCCAGAGAAAAGCCAGGCCTGCTGCAAGACCCCGTGAAATCTCAGTTCTGGACACCAGAGCTCGCCTAACCAAGGACCCATGGGAACGCCCTGGCAAGCGGCGCTTGTCTTTGAAGATGTGGAGGCGTAGTGAGAAGAAGAGAAAAACCAAGTGTCCATGCCGCACAATGCGCCGTCACCTCTGACCGTCCAGAGAGAGAGGGGCAATCTCATTGAACCCGTTGCCCCTCGATCAGGTGCAGCCCATAAGCTTGATAAGAAGCTGTCGCACAAGGCATGAGGTGTGGCCAGTTCTGAGGTCTTAGAATTACGAACTCTGAGAGAGAAGGCGAGACACAATGATCGAATAAAGGTGGAGGGGTAACACCACCGTGGCAAGGCTGTTTAGGGTTTAGGGACAGCCGCGTCCTCGTTATGGCAGCCACCAGCGTTGGTAAGGCTCTGGGGGAACGAGATGCTCGAAAACTGTCTTCCCGGATTTTCAGTTGGTAGGTCCAAGCACACAGCCGAGATTCGGCTTCGAATGCTATGGAGAGGCTTGTGCCAGCGGCATATCCGTACCTATACGACCATCCTTCGGGTGATAAGGAGGTTCGGGGGGGAAGGAACCACCGTCTCACTCGATCGGTTTCACTATCGATCTCACTATCGATCTCACTGTCGGTCTCGCTCGATCGATCTCACTCGATCGATCTCACTCGATCTATTTCAGTCGATCGATCTCACAATCGATCTGACTATCGATCTCACAATCGATCTCACATTCGGTCTCACTATTGATCTCACTATCGATATCACAATCGATCTCAGAATCACCGTCATCATCATCAACATCATTGTCATCAACGTCATCAACAACATCATCATCATCGGGACACTATCATCACCATCACCTCACCACCATCACCATCACCATCAACATCATTATCATCATCATCACCATCATCATCACCATCGGGACACCACCATCGTCACCATCATCATCAACATCATGATCATCGGGACACCATCATCATCATCATCGGAACACCACCCACCATCATCACCACCATCATCGCAGCATCATCATCATCATGAACGACATCATCATCATCATCGGGGCACCAACATCATCATCAGCAACATCATCATCAACATCATCATCATCATCGGGACACCATCATCATCGTCACCATCATCAGCATCACCATCAGCATCATCATCATCATCATCAGCATCATCATCATCGGGACACCATCATCATCATCAACATCAGCATCATCATCATCACCATCATCGGGCCACCATTATCAAAATCATCATCATCACCTCATCATCATCCTCATCATCATCATCACCATCATCATCGGGACACCATCATTGTCATCATCATCAACGTCATCATCATTATCGGGACACCATCATCACCATCATCATCAACAGCATCATCATCACCCTCATCATCATCATCATCATCATCATCATCATCATCGGGACACTATCATCATCATCTTCATCATCATCATCATCATCCCATCATCGTCTCATCATCATCAACGTCATCAGGATCATCAACATCATCATCATCATCGGGACGCCATCATTCTCAGCATCAGCAACATCATCATCATCATCATTATCATCATCATCATCATCGGGGCACCATCATCATCACCACCATCACCATCATCATAAACAACAACATCGTCAATATCATTATCATCATCATAATCATCATCGGGACACCATCATCGTCACCATCACCATCACCATTACCATCACCATCACCATCATCATCATCATCATCATCATCAACATCATCGACATCATCATCATCATCAGCAGCAGCAGCAGCAGCATCATCGGGACACCGACGGGCCACTGGCGGGACACCGGCGGGACACCGCGGGCCACCGGCCCCTGGAAAGGTATTATTTGGTCCTGCCGCGGCTCAGCCGGAGGCGGGACACCGGCGGGACACCGCGGGCCACCGGTCCCCGGAAAGGAATCATTCGGTCCGGCCGCGCCTCAGCCGGAGGAGATTTTCTTCTCGCCTGCCCACGCAGCTTGGCCTCGCCCGCACGCACGGCACGCACGAACACGAAGCCGAAACCGATTTCCCGGTAGGGGGGCTCTCCGTCCCACTTCGATCTCACCCCCTCACCTCCGATCCGCGGCCTCGTGGGCCGGGCACTTTGGCCGCGATCCCGTTGACACGGGGCGTTTTTTCCCAGATGCCCTGCGGGGATCATATGTGTGCGTGTATCCGCGGGATCGCGCCCCAGAATCCAGACCGAGAGGGCGTTGATACGGATACGTTCGCCGCTCGTGAGAGAGAAGAGGTAGAACAATAGGCGATGAAAAGAGGGCTCAGGGCCGCCTTGTACCCAGGCGCATATTGTGGCACCGCAAAGCGCGTACAGTATGAGACGTTGATATCAATGGCCAGCAAGCACAGCATCCTCGTGCCGTGATCGGCAACTGCTATCAGCAATACTCGTTCGAGACAGGCGGGGAAAGCTTAAAGAGGACGCATGCTCGATACATCGTGGGCGATAGCTCCTACCTGGTCTAGCGCCTACGACATGAAACATGGGTCCCCGAATGGACAAGTCTAAGGGAAGTTTCCCATGGGAATTGCCAGCAATCGTATTGCCCATGGCGTGGGCTGCTTTGCGCACACATGAAGCCCAGCTATATGTCTGCCTGCCAAAGTAAGTTTTGATGCTGTGAGCCAAGCATCATGTAAACCCACATGGTCAATTGGACGCGCAGCACCCCCCATACAACTACCAGCGCTTGATTAACGTTTCATTTGCTCGAAGGGGAAAGGTAGCGCAGAGCTGAACATGCACATGGCAAAAGCTCTTGAGTATAGTAACCAGTGCATGCAATGCGGCTGTCGGTGCAAGGGCGCTGCCTACAACACGAAAGGATAGAGGATGAGGGTCCGACGATGTGCGTCGCGCCGGAAGCATGTCGAAGAGAAGAATGCATCGGAGGATGGAGGGCGGAGGAGGGTAGGTGGGAGGAGTGAGGGGAGGAGGGGAGAGAGGAGGGAGGATGAGGGAGGGTGGAGGAGAGAAGGCAGGAGAGTGGATGCGGTGATGGAGGGACAGGGATGAGGGACGGAGGAATGGGGACAGCCGCCCTCCCCCCTTCTGCCTCCGACCTGATCGATCCGCATGCATCACCGTGTCCGCCGTTCGGACATCCCTTCCCTTCTCTTCTGATCTCCTGGTTTTTATTGCCCTCCTCCCGGCGTCGCTGGAGGGAGGGCTGCGAGGGCTCCAGTGTCGTGCAGCACAGGCACGTCCGCGGCTCGAGGAGGAGTACTGGTAGGAGGAGGAGGAGGAGGAGGAGGAGGAGAAGGACAACGAGGATGAGGATGAGGATGAGGAATCAAAATCATTACAAATAATAAGACTAATACTACTACTACTACTAATAATAATGATAATAATATTATTAATACAACGAAGAAGAAACATAATGAAAAACATTGTAACATACGAGTAATAATCCGCCGGCCCCCCTGTGGGGCCACCAGGCTGTAGGGCGAAGGTTCGCAGTTCCTGTGCCAGTTGCAGCTTCCAGTTTCCACTGTTACAGTTCTGCTTCTTGCTGCTTACTGTTCCTTGTTGACTTCTTGCTGCTTACTGTTCCTGGTTGATGGACCGCGCGAGGGGCGGAGGCCCAAAACGGGCATTTTTACTACGCCCTGAGCGTATGCTCTGAATTGCTGGGGCGGGTAAAAATTGACACCCCTCGCGCAGATCGGCAGGGTCAGGGTCCAAAAACATACGAGATTGTCCACACTTCTGAAATTCGGTGGCACCCCTCACGCAGATCGGCGGGGTCAGGGTCCAAAAACACATAGGATTTGCCACATTTCTGACATTCGGTGGCAGCCCTCACGCAGATCGGCGGGGTCAGGGTCCAACAACACAGGGGATTTGCTACATGTCTGAAATTCGGTGGCACCCCTCACGCAGATCGGCAGGTCAGGGTCCAAAAACACATGGGATTTGCCACATTTCTGAAATTCGGTGGCACCCCTCACGCAGATCGGCAGGGTCAGGGTCAACAAAAACATATGGATTTGCTACATTTCTGAAATTCGGCGGCACCCCTCACGCAGATCTGCAGGGTCAGGGTCCAAAAACACATGGGATTTGCCACATCTCTGAAATTCCGTGGCACCCCTCACGCAGATCGGCAGGGTCAGGGTCCAAAAACAGAGGAGATTTGCGACATTTCTGATATTCGGCGGCGCCTCTCACGCAGATCCGGAGGGTCACGGTCGAAAAACAAACAGGTCCCGACACTGCTTCACGGCGGCGCCCAGACCTCATGATTTAGCTTTTGCATCTCCCATTATCCGAGACAGGGGGCCAGCGGCATGGGGCGAAGCCCTTACGGACAATAATAAGAGGAGTAGTAATAATATTAAGAATAAGACTAAGAAGAAGCATACCATTCATATTATTTTTTTAAATAATAATACGAATGATACGAAGGAGTGTTATATTTAAAGTATTAGAATAAGAAGAATAACACACATAATAATAATACTAGTAGTACTAATAATGACAATGATACTACTAATATTAATCATACTAATAATAATACTAATACTAATACTACTAATAATAATAGTAATACTAAAACTAATAATAATAATAGTAATAGTAAAAATAATACTAATACTGATAACAATAATACTATTAATGATAATAATAATGATAATAATAATAGTAATATTTATACTAATAATAATAACAATAATAATAATATTACTAATAACAATAATAAGTAATAATAATAATACTAATAACAATAATAATAATACTACTAATAATAATAATAATACTAATACTAATACCAATAATAATAAGAAGACGAAGAGGAGGAGGCGCGCGCAGAGCTGCTGGGCCGACACTGATGGGGTGCCCCTGTGACGCTGCACACGGGGACAGCCCATATGATTCCCAGCGCGCTGGGCATCCAAGGGCCCCACTAGCAGCACCGCCAGCAGGTCCACCGCTCATGCCACACCACT